CCCCCCCGGGCCCACCTCCGCATCGGGTAGGTCTACGAGGATCCTCCTCGGCAGTCGTCGCAGCACCGCCTCGTCCAGGTCAAAGGGTCGGTTGGTGGAGGCGATCACAACCACGCGGTCGCCGCCCGTGCGGAGCCCGTCCCACTCCTGCATCAGGGTGGTCTTCACGCTGGTCAGGGTGCCGTGGGTGGTGTCGTCGTACTTCTCTCGGCTGCTCAGCACCGAGTCCACCTGACAAACAGGAGTGAGAAAAGCGAAACATTCGTGGTGGGGGGGGGGGTACTCATAGTCGTGCATGCCGTAGTCGTTATTAGACCATTGACCTCGCATCCCTACAAAGCCGGGACGGAGCACGCCGGGTTCTCACCGGACCAGGCTCTCACATCACCAAGCGCGAAGCGCCGTGAGATATTCGGCGAGTCGCATGAAGGGTGCGCTGCATCCTGCTAAGGGTGTTCGGCATCTTGTGCTTACTTCCTTGCGTACGGATGACAGCTGCGTATGAATTAATTTATTTTCTGGTGCTTTCACTTCCAGAGACAGTTGTAAGCACTGTGTAACTGCCTCGAGGGTGCTTGACCATTTTAACACAACGTGGTGCGATCATCCCCCTTGCGCGGAGTGAGGGTTCTCCACCCCGCACAACATGATCTACTCGACCACCATTATGGTTACCGCCAAAAAACAAAGAGGTAAAAAAAAAAAAAACGGTAACCTGGTTGCCGAGTTCACGAAGTGAATTGGCTTGTTTTGCAACGTCTTTGCCAAGCGACGAAAACCCAATCACGATGGCAAACACCGAGGGGGGGGGCTTGTTTTACAATGTCGTTGCCAAGCGGCGAAAACCCAACCGGGGGTGGGAGGGGGGGGGGTATCATGGTCGTTAAGGACGGCCGCGGAGAGAGGAAGCAGTCAGGCCACAACACAAACGAGATACGATTGGAGGGGGCTAAATTTACAACGAAACAAAGAAAAAACCATATACGAGGAGTACACGAGTACACGAGACGCACTACCATGAAACTACCAGAAACGACCGACACGGAAGATTCGAAGCAAAGCAGCAGCACACCATAAACGATAGATTTAAGCAACAATAGTAACAACTGAAATCAGCAAACAAACCATCGCAGATTTAAGCAACAACATCAACAAGATGAAATCAGCAAGAGTATCACCACGACCACCGCTGTCATGACATG